GCTGGGCACAGAGGTGAGACTGACTGGCCTGTAGTTCCTAGGTCTTCCTTGTTCTCTTTTTAAAAGTGGGGGTTATGTTTCCCCTTTTCCAGTCAGTGGGAACTTTACCAGACTGCCATGACTTCTCAAATATAATGGATGTTGTCTTAGACACTACATCCACCAGTTCTCTCAGGACCCACAGATGCAGCTCATTGGGTGCGATGGGCTTGTGCACCTTCAGGTTTCTTAGATGGTCTTGAACCTGATCTCCTATGGTAGGCAGTTATTCTCCCATGCTCTGCCTTTGCCTTCTGTGTACTAAGCAGTGTGGCTGGAGCACTTGTCAGTGAAGACTGAGACAAAAAAATCGAGAACCTCAGCTTTTTCCATGTCCTGGGTAACTAGGTCTCCTGTTTCCTTCCAGAGAAGGCCCACATTTTCCCTAGACTTCCTTTTATCACTAACATACCTATAGAAGTCTTCTTGTTGCCCTTGATGTCCTTGGCCAGATTTAATTCTTTCAGGGCTTTGGCCCTCCTAACCTGATCCCTGGCTGCTTGGACAGTTCTTCTGTATTCCTCCCAGGCTATCTGTTCTTGCTTCCACCCTCTGTAGGCTTCCTTTTAGTGTCTGAGCTTGTCCAGGAGATCCTTGTTCATCCATGCAGGCCTCCTGGCTGCCTCCTTGTCAGGATGCATCGCTCCTGAACTTGGAGGATGTGATCCTTGAATACCAACCAGCTTTCTTATGTTCCTCTTGCCTCCAGGGCTTTATCCCATGGTAGTCCACCAAGCAGATACCTGAATAGGCCAAAATCTGCTCTCCTGAAGTCCAGGGTAGCGAGCTTGCTCTGCACCTTCCTTGCTGCCCTAAAGATCCTGAATTCCACCATTTCATGGTCACTGCAGCCAAGGCTGCCCTTGAGCTTCACACTCCACATCAGCCCCTCCTTGTTGGTGAGAAGAAGGTCCAGCATAGCCCCTCTCCTTGTTGGCTCCTCCATCACTCAGAGAAGGAAGTTATCATCAACACATTCCAGGAATCTTCTGGATTGCTTATACCCTGATGCATGTCCCTCCAACAGATAGCAGGGTGGTTGAAGTCCCTTGTGAGGGTCAGGGCCTGTAAATGTGTGGCTGCTCCTATCTATCTGTAGAGGGCCTCATCTGCTCGGTCTTCCTGGTCAGCTGGCCTGTAGCAGACCCCCACTATAATGTCACCTACCCCTTTTCAAGTTTGATTGCCACTCCAAGGTCATTTTTATTTTGCACCGAGCTCTGTGCAGTTGTGGTTTCAGCTGGAATAAAGTTAGTTTTCTTCCTAGTAGCTGGTACAGTGCTGTGTTTTGGATTTAGGATGAAAATAATGTTGATAACACACTGATGTTTTAGTTGTTGCTAAGCAGTGTTTATATTAAGTCTGTCAGGGACTTTTCAGCTTCTCATACTGCCTTGCCAGAGAAGGCTGGGGGTGCACAAGAAGCTGGGAGGGGACACAGCAAGAACAGCTGAGCCAAATGAGCCTAAGTGGTATTCCATATCGTATGACATCATGGCCAGTATATAAACCAGGGGAGGTGGCCAGGGGACACTGGGGCTCAGGGATTGGCTTGGCATCAGTCAGGGTTTGGTGAGCATTTGTATTGTACATCACTTGTTTTCTATATTTTATTTTTATTTTCCTTTCCCTTTCTGTCCTGTTAAACTGTCTTTATCTCAACCCACAAATTTTACTACTTTTTTTTTTTTTTTTTTTTTTCCCCCCCCAATTCTCTCTCCTATTCTTTGAGGAGGAGGGGAGTGAGCAAGCAGCTATTTGGTGCTTAATTGCTGGCTGGGGTTAAACCACAACAGCAATGATTCACACTTTACACCATTTGCCACTGATAAGAATGGATCATCATTAGAATTTGATTTCTTCTGCAGAGTTTTCTAGGAGCTGGAGATTGGGTGATTAATTTTATTGGGACAATAAATTATAAAGGAAGGACTATGTCATTCTTCTTCAACAACACTTCTTTCCAAGATGACAGCATAATAAATTACAGGCGTACAGCAAATTCCTAAATGCAGTCAGTTGACTCCCTGTGCTAGGTGGATGGAATAAGAGCAGTGGTGAAGAGTTTGGTCAATAAAGTTGCATGGAAGCTTTACCACTGCCTTAAGTCAGTATTGGGTGATCTATTTTTGACAGAGAGTTGAGCTTAAAAGCTCACACTGAAAAAAGTTTCCTTTGACCAGGTCAGATACTCTGTGTGTTTCTGACAAAGATCTCTCCTAATGTATCATATTTTAAATAGCAGGGTTTGCCTTGCTGGATTGAGCCATTAGTGTCTTGAGATTTTCATCTGGACTGTAATAATGATCAGTGTCTGAGGCTTCAAAGCAAGTAAGGAAAAAGAAGAAGAATCAAAAAAAAAAATAACACAAGAAGGCCCAAATGTCTGCTACTTACATAATTATAGGGACAGGAAATACCTGTTCTGACCCCCTTGATTTTCAGCTTCCATCTTGATTTGTTTATCCTTACATTCATGTCCAAAATACAGGTATTCTTGAATAATAAAATATTTGCTCCCTTCTGTTGCTTTTCAGTGCCCTATACCCAAGCAGCAATGTATTGATGGTGCACTCCACCGGGGCTGCAATTCAAGCTGTGAACCACTGTGGCTTGGGAGCTGCTTCACAAATGTTTTGGAAAGAGGGGGCAGGAGCTGGAATCAGTAACCACACAAGCTGTCCCACTGCATTTATCCCCTCTCATGATTTAATTCATGAAGGCCAGCAGGGACTGTTATGATTATCCACACTGAACTCCTGCTTACGTTGTATAATTTAACCGGGTAATTCTTGCATTGGACCAAACAACCTGTGACTGAACAAGTATGTATTTTTAGAAACACCATTAATCCTGATTAAATCATTTCACGTCATGGAGAATTCTCAAAAAAAGCCTTGGAAAGCTGTTCACCTGACTTTCCTAAATGTAACCAGGAGGTAATTAGTCTGCCCAAGGTGCTGCTAGGAGTTGCTAGCTAAGGCCAGGGAACAGAAAGGGGTGAGTGAGCTCCCAGTCCATACTGTCAATATAGGAAATCCTTCCACACTAACATCCATAGGATGTTATCAATCAAATTGAAATACACAATTTGTTATTCTAAAACCATAGGTGTTGGGTTCATTAGATGCCCCTGTACTGATGCTGCGCTGTGCAGGCTTTTACTGCTTTGGACTGCATTCAAAGTGAAAAGATGCTCTTTGAAAACTGACAGCCAGTGTAAGACTAGGGTTCAGAAACACTTAACCATTTTTTTTTAATTCTCCTCTGTATGGCTGAACAACTAAAAAGCTGAGCTGCAGTTTTCTGTAACAGGAGGCATTCTGCACCTGAGGAGGCAGGGGACATGGCTGCTGGCTTCTAGGCATGACCCCCTAACTTGTGCTATTTACACTTTTGACAAAATTAACCAATATAAGATGTGTTAAATGCAGGGCAGCTACTGATCAGAAAACCCAGAAATCTGTTGGTGCTCTTGCTCTCATTCAAGAAAATTTCCACTGATTCTTATGTAAAGGCATCATAATTTAGCTCATCAGCTCTGCTTTTTAAACAAACACGTAAACATGTGCATGCACGCACACTCCTCTCTCTCTGTCCTTTTAGAGACTATAATGTGTTCTTAAGAATTTGGGCCAGAGGTTTTGAAGAGAAAATCTGCTTAGTGGCCCAGATATTCATAAAGCTGCTAGCAAATATAAAGAGAAAGACAGCATGACAGATGTGCAGACAATTAGGAGGAATTGTTACAGGCACGAGAATCGTTCATTGCTGACGCGTGTTCCCCAGCTTACTCGACCCACTTGCAGTGTGCCCTTTGGAGGGTATTTGATGTTGTGTCATTTTGTTTTTCTGGCAATGTCCTAGAGAATCCTACTTTAAGAGTGTTATCACTGGGTAGGGAATGAATCCTGTTCCCTTGGGGTTCATAGCGGCTGGATGCATTTATTCTGAAGGCGAGTTTCAAGGTAACAAGGGTTACAGGGCGAAGGTCTTTGATACCAAAGCCAATAAGAAAAGGAATGGGGAAGGCAAGTAAGAAGGGGGTATTGAAGTCCCCGTATATTTATTATAATCCTATTTTGAGAACCACGGAGCTGGAACCCTCCCTAACTCCCGTTGGTGAGGTTTCCTTGGCAGAGCTACAGAAGCAGCCAATACATGTGAGCATTTAGTTTCTCTGAGACTCAGACAATTTTGGTGTCTAAAGGTAGGTTCAGTATTTTAGTACTGATTGATTCTGTAGGGGAAAAAAAACCAACCACAAAGCCAAAACAAACAACATAACTTGGGATTTTTCTAATTTAATTTATTAAATGTCTTTGTCCAAACCACCAGCTCAGGGACTCATTATTCATTTAAATTTCAAATCTTTAGCCTCAAACACACAAGTATGAAAGACTAGTCCACCATATTGTACCTACAGGCAAGGTTCATTTTTTTTTCTCCTCACTGTTCACCATGTTGAACTGCACTTTGTTTCTTTATGCCAACTTCATCTTCAGATCAAGTAATCCTGGCATAGTCTCTTAACAGTCTTTGAGTGTTTGCTACAGAGAAACTTATCCTGAGTTATTCTTCCTCCTTGTTTGCTTCTTTATGGTGACTTTGGTTAAATCAGGAGAGAAAAACCTTTTCCTTATTGAAAGTTGAATGGGCTTTGATGAGCCATAAATTTAAACACACCTAATGCATTCGGTGTACTGAGGATGAGTACCCATGTGGGTAAGGGGGACTGTGAGTCACAAGCTCCCTTTGCCTGGATTAATAGTGATAGTAATATAGTGATCGCTATTCAAAAAAGTAAACATTCTTAAAAGTGAGCCATCATACAGAATCCATATACTCCTATAAGATAACACTAAATCAGTCACATCAGGTTCTCTAAATGTTTTTTTCAGAGACAGCTTCCAGAAAAGATAAAGAATTCACTGTATTTCTGTGATCACAATTCTCTCTAGGAGCAACCAATCTATTGTATTGTAAATCTGGCCACATAACAGCAGTGAAAACCTGTGATTAGAGGAACCCAGCTTTCTAAAGGACTAAAGAGGTGAGTTGGTATACTAGTTCTGACAAGGGTAAAGTATTAGCCCTTCTTTGGAATTGGACCAAAAAATCCAATTTTGTCATTTCATCCGAAGAAGCAAAATACGGCACAAAGATTGCAAAGCAAGTATGTTTGAAAACTTAACAAGCTGCAAATGTTTTGTAGGGTTTGATCCAAAGCCTGTTGAAGTCCATGGAGAGGAATGGTTTCTCAAATACAGCAGGAATGAGAGACAAGGAAGAGGAAAAACAGTGGAGAACTTCAGGGAAAGAAGAGCAAAGGGAAAAAAATTATAAAGTGACAGGCTAATCAGAATTATATCACAGCTTGCCCTCTTTAATCCCCACATATGTTCTCCATTGTTCTTGTTAGTTTTTCATATATTCTTTATGGTAAGGTCAGAGCTAGCACCTTGTTTCTGGAAGAGAAGCTCCCTGCACTAAAGCATTTTACCAGCTGGCTGTAAGGCTCTTCACATCAAACCTTGAAGGAAAGACCTGCTCTTCCTCTACCTCAGAGCCCTCCTGACAGGCAAGTGGAGATGCCTTTTCTTCTGGGACCTGCTCCTCTATCAGTCCCCTCACAGGACTGTAGGTTCTTCAGTTGTGTGCTGTTGTGCTGCAAAATGCCTCTTTTGTCCCCCTCTTCTCATTGCAGACTCAGTCATGGCTCAGAAACAGAGAGAGCCAACCACAACAACTTCCCCCAGAGGTTCGGAACTAATATTAACACAGTCTATTACCTTCAAAGAAATTAACTTATTTTGAATGAGACTGGATAAAAAATTAATGTGAATGTGTAGATGTTAAAGTATCTTTTCTGTTATTGAATTATTCTTCAGGCCTTTGCATGTTCTCAATTTGCCTTTCTTCCAAGGTGAAATTCAACCCAGGCAAAATTTACTTTCCCCTCCATTATGATCATGAAACTTTTACTTGAGTAAATTTTCTTCCTTGAAGCCAAATTCAGTTCTGTGTTTCACTCAATTTTATTTGCAGTCAAAAGCACCAAATCTTCTTAAAGTACACAGAGCATATATTTGGTCCACTGTGAAGCCAGAGTCACTAATGAGCATGGAGTTGCTCATCAACAGGGTGGGTGTTTGCTAGAGAAAATACTATTTGGAAAAGTTGCACGTTACTTGAGTAAATTCCCCATCAGGAGGCCAGGCTGCTAAGCTACTGGAAAAGTAGGGTAGTCAGCAATAGAGAAGCTTTTGGAAGGTTAAGTGTGATCAGATTATTTGACATTGAAGTCAATAGATCAATAGGTTCCTGTACCTCTCCCCCAAAGAAATCTTTCTTTGCTGAAAACCTACGATGTAAATTATGAGAAACTGCTTACCACTGTGGCAAGGATGAGATGTTTTGTGTTTTTATGTTTTGTGTGTTAAAGGCTCTAGGCAGGTGAAAAGATGTGCAGCACCACATTAATAGGAAATAGTAATGGCAGTTGCAGAGATGGAAAAGGGATGCTGGAGCATCTTGATTAAGGATACCAAAAGGCAAGCATGGTGCTGTTTGCCATGCCAACTTCTGCTGTTCAGGTTGATCACAGGGCAGACCACAAGCCAGCCTTGAGCCATGGGACGTGGCAGGTCTGTCACCACCCCACGTTCTCCATGGAGAGATGCAAATCTTCCGTTTGCCCAGGCTCTTCCCCAGCTTGTTTTTAGGTGCCCAACAGCACTGAAAACACCCCCACACCTCTGCCAGCAAGTGTGCTCCAGAGGTGTGCTGCAAGCAGGGGGTCTGGCCGGTGGCCTCGGCCACCCAGGTTTCATGTCCCCTCCTCTCACCCGCACTGGAGGGGACCTGAACCACCGGGGTGTTGCTGTTCGCATCCAGAAACTAAGGGCAGGAAAACATGGAGTTTTATTCACATTTAGAGGAGTTTGGGGGTTTTAAATCTGTTGTTCAAACATACAGTGAATGTTTTTAAAGCCCCTACTCTCCAAGTTATTTACTATTACTTTTAATTAATTATAGTAAGCCTTGTTGCTTTGTCATATGGGAAGTAAACGGCTGCTTTGACTAACTAAATACTCAAATCAGGTTGGAGAAGGTTTTAATTAGTTAATATCATTAATCACACAGTCTGTTCCTTGCTGTTCATGTGCTATGGAACAGTAGAAATGGCTGTTATTATGCAATGAGACTGCAACCGTGCTTATTCCTTCAAGATAGTTAAAAAAGTGTTCTGTCTGTGTCTCGTAATATGTACCAGCAGGTGTATTTTTTCTTAGGTTCCTGTCTTAGAGTTTAATAACATTAATATGCAGTACATCATTTGTTGGGGACACATACCTTACATTAGCAAGAGAACGAGTTATGTGATTTATAGAGGCAAGTTACAAGTTTGCAGTGAAATGGGAATTCTGTGAGGGCTGCAGTACATCCTGTTCATATCTACCAATGGTTGAGAAGGACAGAAGTATCAGAATTTGAGACCAGGTTAATGAATGGATGCACAGAAAAAAGATTAAAAAATCCCCAACTTTAAAATTGCTCATGCAAAAATGCCATAAAGCACTGTAAAAGATCTAAACCTATGTGTTTTGCTCCTATGTGCTGCAAAATTAATGTGGAAGTTTGAAATCTGGTATAGTAAGAGGGTGGAAAAAATCCAGTGCAATTCATCTTAGAAGCATATTTTGTAACTTTAAAAGACGTGACAATTAATCTACAGTAGTCATGTTTAAGAAATATATGTAGTGCTCATAAAAATCTTCATGCTGACATCAATGTATAGAAATCATGTTGGGCAGACTCCTCTGCAGCGTAAGTGATGGTAATTTGAAATCAATGACCCAAACTCTGACAATTTGGACTGGCTGCAGGTCTGCCTGTACTCATTTTTCATACGATAGGTACAGAATGGGCAATGGTGAGGCTAGCTTCCCATGCAGGGCAATTGCTTCTCTGCCCTGATCAAAAGGGATTATTCCCAGATCAGAGTTGAAAGAGATGATTAATCTGCGCACATTGTTCAATTCTGGGTCTTTGTATTGTGGTCAGCAGTTCATGAAAATCCTAAGTGGGAAGCACCACCCCCTCTTCTCCCCTTGGCTGCCGGGTAGTAACAACTTGCAGTTACTACTCGTCTGGTCTGGACTCATTCAGTTGCCTGGAGGTAAAAGATATGTAACCGCTAATGAATCTTTTGAATTGCCTAGTTCCCACTTCTTCACCTAAATTACACTTTTTAAGGCTATTTACCAAAATTACACAGTATTCTTTGGAGAAGTTTCTGCTTTTCACAGTCATCATTCTATATGTCCTCTCTTGGAAAATTGCAGGGGCATTATATCACTGCTATAGGTGTTACTTATCATTATCTCTACTGGGAAATCAGTTGGTGCTGCAGAGGATAACAACAAACATTTATAGCAAAGAGGAGATGATACTCTCCTGTGGTGATATTGATGACACTGATAGATGGTAAATAGACGGTTGGAGAAAACCCTACTGTTAGCCTGGCAGGCTTGACCTTAAACAGTTATGTAGGCTTACACATTCTGATTTCAGCCTGCCACCAAAGCAGAAGCAGTGAGTGCAGTACACAAGTAGGCTGAGTGCCAGTGTTAAAATTGCATTTGCATCACTTTTGCTTGTTTTTAGAAAAATGCTCTGGGTCTGTTTGGTTGAGTAGTGAAGGAAGAACTTCTCATTATTTTAATGTGAGGCTCTGTGGCCTGAAGTGGAATAACAGCCACCAGTCCTTTACTGTTCTTGCAGTCAGAAAACAATACTAAAATATATCAAAGTGTCTGACCTCTCCTGGTTCTCTGAAAACCTCAGCCACTGCTTCTACTGTGTATCCCATGATTGAAAGCACATGCCAAGGCTCCACTGCACACCTGCTCCCTGGTTTGGCCTTTAAGTTTGTCCTTTTCATAGCTTTCGGTACTGGTGGCAGTGATCTCTCAGAGGATTATTTTCATGTAAAGTCCTACAGAGGTCACAGTAACACGACAGACTCTCTTTGCCAGGCACTGTACAAATGCATAATGAGTGACAGTACCTGCCTGGGATGACACACAAACCCTATCTGTGGCAAGTAGGAGTCCCCTGGTATTTTCTGTAATAAAGATACAATGCCCTAATTTAATTCCAGTTTGGGTAATTACATTGTCTAGAGTCACATTTGCCAGTGGTATCGCCAGGATGTAGCGTTCCACATTTGCTGCTTTGGCTGTTGTGAATAAACTGTTCAGCTATCACACTGTTAGCTAGTACTTAACGCATGACCATGGACATTCTCAAAATTTGTAAAATAACCAGAGCTGATTGAACAGGTCCACATCACACTGCAGAATTAACTGCACCTCAGAGATAAATGAGGTTTCTCCTTTATTTAGTATAGGCCTAAATCTATTTCCTCTAAATTCAGTAACAAACTGTGATTGACTCCAGGGCAAATTTGGCTCCAGTCCTTCAGTAATGGATGGAATTTAGATTTGCAGTGAGTGAAACTCGGCACTGTATGTTTAAGATAGTATCGTTTTTCCATGTGATCTAAAAGTAACTTTCTGTGACTTCTTCAGGTCTCAGACTTGCCAATTTATAACTTTGTGTAATTGTTTTCTGAAGGGCAGCATTTGCATCTTTGAAGAAACCTAGCAACACTCACGTGAAAGAAAAATAATTAAAATGCAGTAGACTATTAGAAACACAAGACTGAATTATGGTCTACTGGGGAAAACTAATCTGAGTGTGCCTAATGACATCCTTTAGAAAGTGATACTCGGCTAAGAAGATATATTAATGTCATTTGTATTGATAATCTACTATATTAATGCTTGCAAATAGTTTAATTTAAATGATTCAAAAAATTTTAGGGAGTCTATTTAAAGACCCTTTGGAGTATCCATCAAAGTGAGAGACATTTCTTTCTCATTGGTATCTTGGATATCTTTACAGTTCATGGTATCAAAAAAAAAAAAAAAAAAAAAAAAAGGAAAACAAATATGAAAAGCCTAAAAGGAAGAATGATTCTTAATACACTTAACTGAGATGATGACAAAGTAATGTATGTCAGTAAAGATAGTGAAAAATAAGCAGAAATAAAGCAAATTTCACCCTGACCCTATTAATATATAATATAGTTTAAGGCAGGTGGAATGGTCCCTGTTCAACCACAGCTATGCAAAAATGAAATTAGATTATACCACACCAGATACATGGTTAGCTACTATGATGCTGAATGGAATTTAACTTTGTCTCTACTGACTATTCAGTTGTGGTCAGCACATTCTAACAAATCTACCTTGATTTTCCATAACTATTAAAGCACAGTAACATCTGGCTGAATAGACAAGGTTTATAAGATTTCAGTTTACACTTGAAGGCTTTGTGTTGTGTATGGTGATTTTTACAACATAACTACTTCAACAAAAGCCCTAGCGTAGACATAATTATACCAGCAAAAAAAAAAAAAAAAGGTAGTTTTGATGTTATGGCTTATATTGCTTGCCAAACTGGAATGCATTTTACAGGCAAAAAGCACTCTAATTATGTAGGAGGATTTTACTGGCATAACTCCACCAGCATGACAAAACTTTCAAGTGTAAACAGGAGCTAGGTGCTTATTTAAGTCAGTATGTCTTCTAACCACTTAACAAAGTATAATTTGTTTTCTAAAACCTCCCCTTCTCCAGCCACATGCTGGTCTGACTCTCACCCCGTTCAGCAGCAGGACACCAGCCCATTGGAGAGGGAGGATCAGGCCTGTTCCTTTAGAGAAAGACTGCAGTGATGCGATTCACCCACTAGCAGATGGTGGTATAACAAGAAAAGCAACACCCTGGGAAGTACGAAAGCATGACAAAAATTAGTCCTTGTCCTACTTTTACTTACACATCCATACGACTTTGTCTCGCACCTCCCCATGTCACTTGTGCGAGCTCTAACCTCCTTACTAATCAGTGTATGGGTGCAGCTGGGACAAAAGGGATTTCAGAAAACGTATAAGATGCTAACTGGGCACCAGGCACAGAGCGGTTCTTCGCGTGATACGCTGCCATAACCAGCCGCAGGAAACGTCTTCCTTGCCTGCGGATGGGCTGGTGTGGCCAGGCTGCATCTGTGTGATGCTGGGTGGGAAAGCCTTACCAGCTCGGTTGCTGATAGCTTGACTCATTCTTCCAATTCACTACGCAGATGTACCCAGGAAGGCTGGGCAGACGGTCAGACTTCAAGAATTGCAGCAACTCAGCAGTACTGTGCCTGCCTGTTGTATTTCTGACTGCTGCCATCACTGTTTTAGTGAGCTCTGCATTT